CTCATTACCTTTTTTCCCGTACCTCCATTCGAGTCTCTCTGTCTCTGTCTATTTATCTATCTATCTGTCTATTTCATCTATCTATTTTCTATCTATGCTATCCATTCATCCAGTCATCGCATCCATCCACCCATCCATCCATTCCATCGATAAATCCATCCATTCCATCCATCCATCATCCATCCATCATCCATCCATCTTATCTAGCTATCTGTCTACTTGTATCTACCTGATCTTTTCTTTCTATCTATCTATCATATCTATCTATCTATCTATCTATCTATCTATCTATCTATATAAATATAATATCACATCTATATGATCTATCCATCCATCATCCATCCATCATCCATCCATCCATCCAATCATCCATCCATCGATCCATCCAATCCAATTCCATCCATTCCATCCATCCATCCATCTATCCATCATATCCATCTATCTATCTATCTATCTATTATATATTGTCTATATATATATCTATCTATTTATTCAATGTATCTATCTATACTATCTATCTGTCTTGTCTTTATCTCCCCTTACTCTTCTCATTATTTATCTATCATATCTATCTATCTATCTATCTATCTATCGTATCTATCTATCTGTCTATCTATCTTATTTTACCTATCTATCTATTCTATCTATCTACTCTATCTATCTATCTATCTATCATATAATCTATCATCTATCTAATCTATACTCTCTATCTATCTATCTATCTATCTATCTCTGCTTCCTGGTCTGCCGCAACTCTCCAATGTTCTCAATCTTCCAATGCTCTCTATGCCTACCTTCTATATCACTGCACTGCTGGTTTCTTTTTCTCACACTCGCACTGCTGGGTTCTTTTTCATCCTCTCCCTTTCACTCTTCATGTTGTACTCTTACCCCCTCTGTCGGTCTGTGGAGAGTGGCATCTGGGTCAATCAGTTGCAGTCTGTGTTTGTTGAATTGTAACACATCTGATGAGTGAGGTAGGCTGGCTGTGTGCTGATATGCTGAGCCCGTGCTGCTGTTGGCAAGCATTCAGTGCGATCTTATATCCTCTCGGCCAGTATTACCCATGTCTACTCCCGTTGTGTTTGTGTGCGTGCGTGCGTGCGTGCGTGCGGGTGTGTGTGTGTGTGTGTGTGTGTGTGTGTGTGTGTGTGTGTGTGTG